TCATGCATTTTCATATACTATTTTTTAAGTAGTACAACCATGACAATAAAAAATAATATATATAATACATACAAAAAAAAAAAATATATATATATATATATATATCATAAATATTATATAAAAGACATGTTTTCAATTTTTATTTTATTTGTATTCCCCTTCTCTCTTTATAAGTTAGAAATTGAAATTAGAAAGAAAAAGGCAACGGTCAGCAGGCACACCCACCCACTCGCGTTACTTTTTATTCTATTTTTCTGTTAATTTAACATTAATTATACTTATTGTAAATATTTATATTTTTCATTTAAAATTAAAAAAAATCCACTTCTATATACATCTATCTTCAAATGTTTTCCGCCTCAATTGATTCAAAGCTAACATAACATAATAATTTTAAAAGCAATGTATAAAAGGTATTTGTATATATTACAATTTATTATTACAAAATAATGTAAATGATATTTACATCATTTTAAAAACATTATTAAAGATTCCAGATTCAACTTCGTAATCATTTGTTATTACATAAAAGTATATAAAATATTTTTTATAATAATAAGTAATTATATTAATTAATTTATAATATATATATATATATATATATATATATATATATTAACGACAATTTTAGATTTAGTATCTAGGTTAACATTTTATTAAATATTTAGTTGATGAGTTTGTTAAATAAAATATGTATAATAAAATAAATACATTGAAATATATTTATAAACTAAATAACCATAACTTTGAAAATATATGCATTCGCTAAACTCTACCATCATCTCGCTCTAAAAAAAATAAAAATTTTAAGAATATATATATATATATATATATATATATTAAAAAAAATTACTATAGTTATCGTTTTAAATTCATTAATGTTAAAATTTATCACTTTCATTATTTATTTTTCTGAAAAAAACTATTATTATAATTTAAATAATACAACTAAAAATAATCTAATAATATAAAACAAAACATATAATTTTAAAATTTTATACAAAACACTAACTTTCATGTATCTCATCATTCACATAACTATAAAATTTCACATCGTATTCATAAATACCCATTATTATATCATATTTATACTTAACATATTTTAGAAGACTACACATTTAATTGAACACAAATATCTATAAATTACACTATTTAAATAAAATGTTATTTTTGTAATATAATAAAAGGATAAGAAATTTAAAAAAGGAAATTTCAGATTAAAATATATTTTATTAAAGTAAATTTTGATAAATTTCTTACTTAAATTAAATCACCAAATAGGTAAAAAAAAAAACGCACTCTTGTATATTAAAGAAAAAAAATCCATGAGTATTTAACCCTATTTTAAAATTTGATTGCGACCGTTGGGTTTGGTAGCTATTGGATGGACATTTTTGTGGTCAGCTCAAACCGACCACGTGCATCTTTCTCACCAATTATATTATATTACTAATTTTCTTAGTAATTTTTTTTAAATAAAGATAAATGTAAGGGTTAGGTATTTGCATCTGTTTAAGGATGATGTTTTAGCGAGAAAAAAATGAAAAGGTCAACATTCTTTAATTGAAAATATAATATATTAATTATGATTTTCTTAATTAAAGTTGAAAAGGGAGCAAAGAGGAAGAATATATGGTAAAATGAACAGCGACCGGTGATTTATTTTCATAAAACTTTTTTATTTCTTAATTAAAAAGTTTGTATACACGCGAACTGTTATCTTTAATTTTGATTTTATTTAAATAATTTAAAAAGAAAAAATGACTCCTTAAAAAAAAATATGGAATAGTGTCTCACGTCACGGCCTTTATAAGATAATCTGGACATTACAAATGCTCTCATGTTAACATTAAAGAGAGGTAATGTTTGTTGGAAATTAAATAATATATTATTAATTAAAAATAAATATAAAAAATAAAAAATCAAATTTATAAATATATATTTAATAATTATTAGATTTAGAAAAATAAAAATTATAAATACTAATTAAAAAAATTATTAAATTTTAAATATTAACATCAATGTAAGTATAAAACATAAAGAAATTTCTTCTCCCTGTAAGATCCCACCAGTAGAGAATTTGGGGCTTAATATGGTAAATGTTGGGTATGCCACTCATATGCTAACACCTCAAACATCTATTCCTGAGTGTTGGATGCGTCAAAGGAAACACTATCAATCTTCTTTATTTTCTCATTCTCTTGACTTTTTTTTAAATATTTAAATAATTTAAAAATTAACAGTGATAATAATTTGTTCCTGTTAAAATAAAATTATCCCATAAACTAATACATCCATATTTGGAAGTACATTTACCATTTCCATTATTAAAGAAATTTACTCAGCATTCAGATGGGGTACGCAAAGCGAATAAAAGAGATGAAAAGCATATTCTCGCGGGCCAATAATTTATCGTGCTTTACCAAGGTATAGAAAAATGGTTCATAAATATCGTATCGGAGGTGTGATACTCTGATGTGGTGACCGAACAAAAGGATTGACTCCATTTGGTCATAAAAAACTTAAAAGATTTTTTAGTGATTAAAATTATTGCTAATACTATATTACGAAAACGACACATCAATGAACAGATAATCCTCTTCACCACTCTCACCCTATGCTGTGTGTACCCACGCTCTTGACGTTGATGCATTAAGGATACATTTGACTTTTCATTTCTATTTTGTCTTTTTATAATTTTATTTTTAGTTAAATACATTAACGGAAATTCAGGCACACATTTCTATTTTATGTTATTTTAAATGAATTAAAATTATATATTACATATATATGTATATTAATTTTAAAATATAAATAGTTAGTTTTAAAAATAATAAATGGGAGGAAGGAGTTTGAAAGAAGAGAAAAATTAAAAATAAGGAAATAAAAAAGTTACCTTTTTATTATTTTCATTTATTAGTTTATATTTCAAAAACAAAATAAATCATGTGTTTAAAGAAGTAAAGAAAAATATATGATTAAAAGAATAAGAGACATAAAATAAATAATATATTAAATGACATAAAGGATTTTTTTAAATAATTATAGATTATAAATTAATATTTTTATATACAGTAGGTATTTTATGGTTAAAATATTAAAGAGAAGAGAGTCTCGTTACATAGTTGTTAAGCGACATTTATATATTTGTTGGGTATTTTTAATTATTATAGGTTGAAATCTGATAAATTTTATTTTATTCTATTTAAATAAGAATTAACATTTTAATTTGTGGCATTATTTAACAATTTAAATTGGAATATAAGATTAAACTTAATATAATTATATACAGAGAGTTAATATCCTAAAGTTGTATAATAAAATATTGAAGAAAAAAAATGGTATTCCACTTTTGTTGGTAAAAGGAACATTTGCGATTGATTGAATACGGAGTTGAGCCCATTATTTTTCCAATTGATGTCGAGGTTCCTACTTCCATGCCTATCAACATCATTCACACTTTGTCACTGTTTCCACTACATGTTTTTGAACACAAAGTTGCGTAGAAACAAAGAAAAAAAAAAAAAGTTCCAGTTACATCACAACTTTATCATATCATATAGTTCAAAACAAAAACAGCAATTTAGAACCAGTCAATTACGTACCAATAATATTATATCCTAGTTTCCTGTTTTTCGGTGTTTTTTTTCTTTAAGTTTTTACTTATCAATTTTTATTTTATTTTATATTTAATAAGTATTCCCATGTATTTACTAAAACTACACCACTTAAAAATAAAATCAATAATAATTTATATATATATATATATATATATTTTATCAATAGGTGTGAATTAAGATTTCAAAATAAAATATTTAAGATATAATCATAAATTCTAACAATATTATTATAAAGTTTATATTAGACTGATTTCCATTTATTTATATAATAATATTAAAATTATATTTATTTTGAAATATTTATTTTTATTTATAAATTTCTGGGAGATAAAAAAACTTATTTATCTTTTTATATATATTTTTTATAATTAATTTAATCAACTAAAACTAATATATATATATATATATATATATATATATATATATATATATATATATAAATTTGTTACTGTTTAAATTTCTCTTTGAATAAAAGTTTTTTTTATGTCTCTTAACCTTATTACTTTTTGTATTTATTATTAATATTGAATTAGATCTTCACCTATAATTTTTTTTTTCATTGTCTCGGTTTCATCATATAGTCGGTCACAAGGATAATTATTTAGAATATATATATATATATATATATATATATATATATATATATAAATAAGTAAAAAAAAAATGACATGTAAGAATAAGATTAAATTTCAAGCAAATATGGTAAAATTAATTAAATGAAATATATAAAATACTTGTATATTATAACTAATAATAAATTAATATATTTTAAATATATTAATTATCGAATAAATTATATAGATTTTTACGCTAATAATACGTATTCATTAAACTCATGTTTACTAAAGTAGTATAATTTATACTGAAGATAAATTTTATAATGACGTGGCATATATGCTCAATTATTAGTGTATTTAAAATGATTGCATGGACAATTATTGGGGTTGAGATCCTAAATTGGATTCTTAATATATATATATATATATATATATATATATATATATATATATATATATATATATATATATATATATGTTTATTCACTATGTTAATGATGTTCACGCATTCAAGTACTATTCTAATTAGTACTGAAATTTTTTATGTACATGTAGCAATTAAGGTTTTATCTCAAGTTAATTTAACTTAATCGGAAAATAATTAAAAAAATATTTAATATGAAAAGTAAACTGAAAGATGTTTAAATAGTATAACTTTATGTTTAATATATTAATCATATTTAACAGTTGTGTCTGTGACTTTGTCTTGAAATTTGAAAATAAAAGAGGAGCAGTAGGAGAAGAAAGAGAAGGAGATCACGCGAAAAAAAGCGCGATAAGAGAAATGTTGAAAGGTGCGTGAGAATTGAATTGAAATGAGAAAATGGAGAATTTGGTTTTTGTGTGGCGTAGATGGAATGCGATGTCAGCTGGCATGGCATGCAGTAAAAGCGTACGAACAGGTTTTGATGGAATAATTCAACATTTTTTTTTCTTCTTTTAAATTTTATTTTCAAAGTTTTTTTTTTCTCCACTAACTCATCACTGCATGTATCCACTGACACGACACTATCCCATCAAATAAAAACATTTTTAATTATAGAAATAGAGACTCTAAATTAACGCTCTAATTTTATCTTTTGCATTATTATTTTTCAAATTTATTATTTTGTTATCTTAAATATTCATTTTTTCTCTTCTTCTTATTATTTTTTTAGATATATAAATTTATATTTGATAAAAAAAATAATACTATCTTATTAAAAATAAACATAATACTAGTTTAAAAGGAATTTTTTATATATAATACACATTTTTATTATTTTACTTTTTTTTAAATATAATAAATATATATTTTGGGATCGATGAATACAAAATTAATTATAAAAATAAATCTCCTTATAATATATAATACAACACAAAAGTTATGATATACACATTTTATTAACGTATGAGTTTAATATATTAATTAATGTGATATCAATCACGTTAATGTTAATGATATTTATATCAAAGTAATTGTGATAATATTATGTCATATTTTTATTATATAATTTAAAAATATTGATTAAAATATGTTAATGAAAAATAATAAGAGATATGAAGATAGAAAAAAGAGAGTGAAAATTTAATGGAATGATTTTGTAACTTAAACCTAAATATGAAAATCGAGATAATCTTAATTACTATATTAATATATTTAGTATTGTTGATTCATGTTTTTTCCTCTGTCAGCAAGCACGCTTAACAACTAAATTAATGAACAAATCATCTTTCTTTGAAAAACTTTTACACATTTTTATAATATTGATTAAATCTTATTCGTCAGAAGTAAAATAGAGTTCAATGTTTGCGTGCATATAACACAATTTGTATGCAATTTATAGTTTATGTTTCTATTTCTGGAATTCATGTCAATCAAGAACCGAGATGAAGTGATTTAAATATTATTATTTAAAAATATGTAAATGAATAAAAAAAATAACAACAAAGAAGATTACGTGGTAGAGAAACAAGTTTAGTTGTCTTATTTGACTGTGGAATATTTGTTATGTATAATTTTTGTTTGAAATAATGCATGTGAGAGGTTGGCTCTTATATAACTTACATTACAATTATACAATATCGAGAAGATAAAATAATTTAAACCTATTTATTAAATATATTTTTTTGTCGAACAATATTAAAAATAAGTGTATTTTCAGTTGACAAATAATCTAAAATTTAATTAAGTTATATTAATTTAAAAATAAAAATTCTCATAATTTTATTTTTTTTAAATATCTTGATAGATTGAAAGGGAGATTAAATTACTTTTTATCCTCAATTTTTATATGATACGAAACTCGTTAATGTATGGAATAGATGTTATTTGAGAAAATAATAGAAAAAAAATTGAATAAATTTCAATAGTATGATTAAATTAATTATTTGTAAAGGTATTTTTAAAATAAAAATATCTAAAAGTAGGGTTTGAAAGAACTAAGAGCACCCACCAAGAGTTGCATAAAGCAATAAATATGGGGATGTTGCGAAAGGAGATGAAAAAAAGTGCAAGAAAGTATGCCGACAGCAGTTGTACGAAATACTATATAAGGTGGTGATATCTTGAAAACAAAAAATTATGCCATTTATTAAATAATTCACTTTTATTAATATAATAATTTATAGAATCATTTAATATAAATAAAAATAAAGTAAAATTATTATTATAATATTAAAAGAGAGTTATTTATAAGAGTAATATGAATTTAAGTTATCAAAATATCATTTTTTATTATATAAAAAATAAATATGGAATGCAAAATTAAGGATGATTTGGTTTATAGGACCACTGTGAAAAAAAGAGAGAAGATGAGTCCTTGTTTAATAAAGTGGATATACAAAGAAAAAAAAATCATATATATAAATATAAAAATACATTTAAAATTTTCAATTTAAACAAATATTTTAAAATTATTTTATTAGTATAGTGATTTAAAATTTTATATATTACGATTTTATTTTTAAAATTCAATAAATTGAAAAGAAAGTATATATAATATGAATGTAAAAATAAATTAAATATTTATCTTTGACCTTATTTTAAGTTATTGTTTTATTTAGAAAGGATTATCACTTTTTTCTTTAAAGATATTTTAAGAAATCAATAGAAAATAATATATATAAATTATTATTGACTTTAATTTTTATATTATAGGATATTATGAAAATTTATTATTAGAAAAAACTTATTATATAATTTTTTTAATAATATTTTATAATTAAATAATTTTTTTGTTTTATCTTTTTATTTCATTCTCTCTTTGTACATAAAAGAATATTAATTAACTAGATTTTTTTAAATCTAAAAATTAGTATAAAAATAGTAAACTTCTTTTGTAAAATATATATATCAGACGAGAGCCTAGTTGTAGTGATAAAATAAAAAATTATCGAGTGAATTAAAGTTGAAAGGAGAAGAATAATCCACTCAAACCGACCTATCTCATGAGTTTTTTTTTTTTTTTTTTTTTTATGAATAATTTATTCACTTATTTTAATAATTTCACGACCCATGGGATAGTGTATTGGGCCTAGGTTAGACATAGGTTAAATGTGACCAATTGATGGTTTTTAGGGACACGGATCGTGTTATGTTATTACAGATTTAAAATATATATTATTTATTATTGATGATTTATTGTATAAATTTAGTTTTCTAATAATAGAAAAATTCAAATAATATTCATAAAATAAACGTTTCAGCCCCCTAATTTTTTAATTTTCAATAAATTTTAATCAATCATACCATGATGTGATGTTGACACTTCTCATACATTAATCCAAAAAACAAGTGATAATAACATATGTTTTCTAACCCACTTTCGTTAAACAAACATTATATTACTAATCACAATTGATTAAAAACTTCAAAAATTAAGAAAGAGATTCATTCACTAAACATATCTTTGCTTAATCTTGTGTGTTCCGAAGGTGGAATTATTAGGTTTTCCAAAGCTGATGATTAACGCTAGTTGATACCCATAAACTCAATTATGATGTCCACAAACAAACACACCTTTACCAACCAAATACAATTGACTATTTTTTTTATTATTATTATAATTATTATTTTCTCTTCAATATAACTTTGACATAACTACACACTATTAATTAATGCTCATATTATTTTAATTTCTATAATGACGTGTTTGTCTAAAGGCAGAGGAACCACATATTCATTTGCTTACGCAATTTGCATGGTGTTGTGCGTAAATGAACTTCAAATTTGTAGGTTTATGATACGAAATTATCATGGATTATAGTGACTTTATAAATATTAATAAGTTTAATGAGAATGTATTGTTATTCTATCTATTTCCAGAAACTTCTTCAAAATTTTATAATTGATTTGAGTCTCATATTATCTTTGTAATTAATATCTATCTAGATCCGAGAATTTGTCTCCTAAAATATCTGGACCAACATTTCAAAAAGATGTAACATACATGAAAAAAAATAAAAAATTAATATTCGACCTTCACTTAATGAGTGAGGTTGATTGATATGCAAACATTAATTGAATTGTGGTTGTTTGAACCAAACCAAAGAAAAAAAAATGAAAAACAAAAAAAAGATTGCTTTCATGAGCAGCAAGTGCCACGCAATTAATCACATTGAGTGTTGTGAAATCTAAATTAACTTTGAATTATTTTAATTGGATTATAATTAATTCATGCACTTTTTTCTGACATGTTATGCACCAACAACTTCAAACCTAACTTAATATGAAAGAAAAAAAATACCTACACGTAATTGGAAGCATATTTTATGTATCAAACATGAGGTTAGAGATAGACGTAACTGAGTCAAGAAGAAAAATCAAATTTAATTATCATTAAGTTACTAATACATAACATATATAATAATAATAATAATAATAATAATAATAATAATAATAATAATAATAATAATAATAAAATGAGTGAGTAGGGATATAAATCAATCAAATAAAAGTTTGACTTGAGAAAAAAAAATACTAACTAACATTTGGGAAGTTTATTTAAATGAGATATATTAAATATTTGAAATGAGATTATTAGAAAAATATGAAACGTAAAATTAAATGTGAGGAAAATATGTAAATGAAACAAGTCAAGAGTTTGACTTGTCAGGAAAAAAAAATGTTTATCTAGTTTGACGTATTTATTTTAATCAAACAAGTTAAAAGTTGAACTTTTTATTGTTAGAAAAACGCTACACCAAGAACTACTATTAAAAATGAAACTTGAATTTGGTTTATGATTTGATTATTTTACCATTTATCAAATATATTCTTAAAGTGGTTCTTAAGTTTATTAATTTAATATTTAATATACATTTTTATGTTTGAAGATATATTAGAATATGCACTGATATTATAATTTGTTTTATATCATTTATGAGTTAAGATCAATAATAGTTTATATATATTCTCATCTCTTAACTATTGAGACATTTTTTAAGATAGGAAAGTACTAAAACGGATAATATCTCAGACGTTAAAATTGATCATAGCACTATTATGACAATAAGACAGAGACACTCTAGTTCCTAGACGAAATCTTATGTTTCGAGTACTCTTTTGAATTTCACATCATTTAGGAATCGAGACTAATAATAATTTAAATATACTTTATTTTCTTAATTAAAACACTTTTTAATGACAAAATCGACAAAAAAATTAAAAAATGGATAATACTTGATATTCTTTATGGGATATATTATAGAAATTATGTAATGCATGATATATATTATAAAAATTATGTAATGAAATATATTAAAATAAACCAAATTACAGTTTATTCACTATATATCCTTTCATACAAAATTACCAGTTTCATTACCATTTAAATGTGTATACACAAATTTTATAATTGAAAAAAACAAACATGATCAACCTAACATGTTATTCAGAATGGAATAGTGTTTCAATTGGTGTCCATGAAATTTGTAGATCCAGATTGAAGTTATAATTGATAGGTGCATGTGAAGGTAAGGGGAAGAATTAAAGTATCTTTTGGTGGCTTTGGAGACAATGGATAGTGTTTGAGGCATTGTGACAACCTATTCTTGACATGTAGCCAAACCAAGTTATGGATTACTTTTTGTTCTTATTTTCAACTTCACTTTTTATCTTTGCGAAAGTGGTATATTTACTTTTGAAAGTTCATGAATTGAATAAAATAAAAACCAAATAAAAGACAAAAGATGAAAAAGAAGGTCACATGGCAACCAACATTGATGTTTGAGAAGTTATCCGTATGCATATGTATATGTTTCTTGCATTAAATAAATGGCTTCTAAATTTTCTCATCATCAAATTTTAAATATAATATTACTTTTAGTAGGGATTTTAGTTCTAAATTTCAATTAAGAGATTCAAATAATTAATTGTGCCAAAGATTTTCTTTTGTAAGGTTAAAAATAACGAGTACACTCACCCCTATCCCCTGTTAGAAATTTGAGAAGAATGATTCTAGGTGTTATAAAGTACCACTAGTACAACAATCACTTTTAACATCGGGCTTTCCACATCGGTTCTTTAAGAACCGATGTAGAAAGTGAATTCAAGACTTTCTACATCCGTTCAGGATGAACAGATATAAAAAGTCTTTTTATAAAATTAAGAAAATTATTACTGACAGGATTCAAACCCGATCGCTTGAAGTCGGAGACTGATATTCAACCACTAAACTACCAAGATTTTTTGATAATAACTTATACATAAATTATATTTATATACAAATAAAAATGTATATCCATGTAAATATATAAATATAAAATATATAAATACAAATACAAATATATTTATATGTTGGATGTGAGAAGCGCTCGAGAATAAAAGTGTGTGTCAAGTGGGTTTTCAAAATTTGATGTCAAATTTGTGAGCAAGTTTCTTTATATGAATTTGTAATTTAATGATAGAATATAATCTTTATAATTTATTTATAATAATATAGAATATAATCTTTATAATTAATTTATATAATGATATAAAATAAAGGAAAAAATTATTTTATATCATTATATAAATAAATTATAAAGATTATATTTTGTCATTAAGTTATAATCCATATAAAGAGACCCACTCACAAATTTGACATCAAATTTTAAAAATTCACTCGACACACACTTTCATCCTCGAGCGCGTCCTCACATCCAACATATAAATATATAAATATATTTGTATTTGTATTTATATATTTTATATTTATATATTTACATGGATATACATTTTTATTTGTATATAAATATAATTTATGTATAAGTTATTATCAAAAAATCCTGGTAGCTTAGTGGTTGGAGTATCGACCTCCGACTCTAAGGTACTGGGTTCGAATCTTGCTAGGTGACAATTCTCTTAATCGATAATAATTCAAATTCCTAAAAAATATAAATAATAAAAATATAATATAAAAGGGATAGTCTAGGAAACTCTAGATCAATAGATAGGGTAATTAGAGATGTGTTATGAATAAATAAAATAAAAAAAATATTAGACTTTCTACATCGGTTCCTTACAACCGATGTGGAAAGTCACACTTTCTACATCGGTCGTATCTACATCGGTTCTAGAACCAGATGTTAAAAGTCACTGAGAGCCGATGTTAAAAGCATATTTTGTACTAGTGTACAGAAAATTGTGATTAGAACCAAGAAAAAAGAGAAAGGAAAAAGATCAAAATGTGACACAAATTTAAATAAATGAATCAAAATGGATATATGAATTTTAAGTGCAATTGTAAATTCATTGTCAATTTATAATATATGTCTAAATTTAATGAATATAGTTAAGATTGCGAGATATATAAAATTAAAAAATTATAATTTGATATAAAAGTTTAAAAACACTAAAAAACAGTATTAAGTATTACTAAATTTAGAGATAAAAAAATTCATAAAAATATTATTATTTTTAAATTAAAATCTAAATTTATCTCTAAAATTAATTATTAAAGTATCAATTCCTTTTTAAAAATTAAATTTTAAATTAGTTTTCAATTAAATAAATAACTTAAAAAATGTAATTTAAAGATATATTTAAATATTGACGTAAATTTTTTAAATATAATGATTCAAAAATTATATTCAACTCAATGTTAAGTATTATTATTTTCAGCCTAAAGTCTTAAGAAATGAGTCTTTTTTATTTAACTTTCTCGTTTCGTGAATTTGAATTCACACATGAATTGTTAATACTAATTTTATTATAGAATTAATAATTTTATTTTTAATAATAATTTTTCTTATAACGAAAGACGTATACGAAATCATAAAATGGAAACGAGTAAAAAGACCATGATTATGACAAATTTAGACATTTGAGAGTTGCAAGAGTTGAAACGTGCAAACTAATCAGCCATTATATTATGCTCAACTAATTAGAAAACACGTATAGATTAGAAGCTAATTGGATGGTGATGGCACGCAAAACCAAAGTCAATGGAACATTACATGTCAAACTCATCAAGGATAATCATAAATATATTTTCCAAAACTTTTTTCTCTCATTTTTTTCCCCCTCAAGTGCCTTCTCCTGCAAAACAGATCCAATACTGATCTTAAATAAAGTTTTTTTTTTTCCACCGTAATAATTGTTTGGTAAGATTAATTAATGAAATCATTATTAGTTAGTGCTTCCTTAATTTCTGAAACATCTCTCTATTTGGTAAGTATAGTTTGATTTAGGGAAAACAAAGAAGACAGAAGTAAAATATTACATTTTCCTTAAATTGATATAAGAAAAGGAAAGTATATATTTTCCTTAATTTTTATTTTCTCTTCTATTTCCTAATTCATAGAAAGCAGTAATATTGTTTGCCTCAAATAGGAGTAGCAAAGGACTTATATTGGAGGAATGGGTCGAGGAAATTGTAGGAGACAGTGGAAAGTTATCCTCTTTTTTCCACAAGCAAGTGCAAGAAAACAAAGTCCCCGGAATCAAGTGTCACTCTCCCTCCAAGGACAAGTTTGATGAGTTATGGGAAATCAATCGTACGTAATTCATATGATAGCAAAAGAATGGAAGAAGGCTTTGCTTTTCCTTTAATCAAAGTCACTGTTAATGTTGTAAGAACCGCCATGAATAGATTGCATGAATTAGGTATCATAAACCAAGTTTTAGCTCTTCCATATTTGCTACTTTCACTCTCAACAACTTAACACCAAACAAGTAGAGGTGGCTCCACAAGGGGTACTTTTTCTTAACCCGTGATTGATGGGTTAAATTTCCACAAGAAATTCTTATTCTTAGGTCTTACTCACTCCTTAAAGTTTGATGTCACAGGGACTATTTTTGGAGGGAACATGAACATGGGTGGGTTACAATGTAACATACCCCACACACACACACACCTATGCTTACTTTTTCTTTAGTCACTTTCAAGACTCAAGAAATATATAACTAATTTTACAAAAAGAAAAGCACGCATAGCCACCCTACAAATTAAGACCAAGTCAGTCCTATAAGACTTAACTACTCTCTTTTTCAGTTTCTTTTTACCATTCTTTATATAAATACACCACTCTTGAAGTTGAAGGGAATACATAACATAACACAACACAGCACACAGTGACTCATATCCCTTCAAACCAACCATGGATTGGTTCTCATGGCTTTCCAAAACATGTCTTGAGCCAACACTAGTGTATGAGTATGGCCTTACTTTTGCACACAATGAGCTTGAAGAAGAAGACATAATCTACTTCAACCATGAGTTTCTCATGAGCATGGGGATCTCCATAGCCAAACACAGGCTAGAGATTCTCAAGCTTGCAAGGAAAGTGAAGGGAAAGAGGGCACCACGCCCTGTGACAAGGCTCATGGTGGCGATCAAGAGGACAAAGAGGTGCTTAGCCAATTACTTCCGCACGTTCATCAGCTGTGAAGAAGAGTCATCAGCACTTGTTGTGGTGCCATCATCATTATCATCATCAAGGACAAGGCCTTATGGGACAAGATGGAAGAGTCATGTGATGAAGAGGAACAAAAAGTTGATGGCGTCTAAGCAAGAGAGGCTCTTGCTCACAAATGGAAGTCCTAACACTGTGGTGCATGGTCTTGATGCTTATACTAGTCCTATGGTTTACCATTTCCACAAGGAGGAAAAAATGGAAGGAGATAACGATGATGGATACTGGTCTTCGGCTGCTACAGAAGAAATCAGGTGGGATACCATGTTCCAGGATCTAAAGCCAAATTGATAAAAACTTCTCCTTTTTCTAATTTCGACCTTTTTTTGGGGTTAATTCTATCATCCCCCCCCCCCCCTTTTTTTATTACTTGGTGAGAGATGCCCTTTTTTTTATTACTTGGTGAGAGATGGTTTTTTTGGGTTCTTCCACCATACTTTTTTATTGCTTTCTTTATTAATGGTGTGGGTCACGCGGATGGGTAACTTTAGCATGCACCTATCTGTTTCAGTAATGAGATTGTCTACTTTGCTTTTGTATGGTCATGTTATGCCCTTTAGCTTTTTTGATAGGGGGAAATTTGCCTTAGACTAGCGTGTTATGGGGGGAGAATGATTTGAGGTAGATGTTTAGGTATGTTACTTTAGCAACTTTGAGCCCCGGTTAAAGAGTTTGTCTTTTGGGTTTGGGTTTGTGCAATGTAATGTCTTGTGGTTGACAATACACACATTAACAAAGTATATTTAATACAATACTTAATACATTAATGTCTTTGATCTAATTCTTGATTGATTGAGCCTTTTTCCCAATGAGCAAATGATTGTTTTACTTCATTCTAACCCTAAGCATGTAACAAGATGATGTCCATTTCTTACTCGAAGTGGTGACCTTAGATTCTGACTTCTGAGGTGGTGGCACTAGTTCTGTAAATTCAGTAACATAGCAAAGCACTTTAATTTTCAGAAACACCATAACCAGAACAGTGAGGACCCCATTTTTGTTCATGTAATGATTAGAGTAGCATGTGCATTTTATGTAAAGTTAATTTTCTTTTTCTTTTTCTCTTTCGAGGGCTTAGCAAGAACAATGAATGTCTTGTTCAAGCAAACAGAATTGAACAAAAATTAATTGCAAAAATTTATTGAACTAAAAAGAGTAAAGCATACGAGAGATAAGAAATATAGCCATTCAATGTTTTAGCATATACATATTTTTGCTTCCACAACATTTATTTACATGAATTAAGCTGTTGCCTTTCCAGTCAAAACAAAATCTAGTAACTTATTTTTGACACACTATGGTATTTTAGAATTATTTGTGACTTAATCCGGATTGAGCAAGGAGCAATGCTTTTTCTATACTCCATCTTTTCAAAAACATCATTTAACATTCATGATTTTCTTTTCATCTCTTTCTTCTTTACATAACATACCATGTATATTACATATTAAGCCTAAAATGTAGCCTCTAACGAATCCAAAACACTTATCAACTTTGTTCTTAAAATAATCAATTACTCTGGCAACTTTTGGAAGTCCATTACAAAGTAAATAGTGTATTGTATAGGAAATGATCTCCCGTGAAAATCTTCCCCATAAAAACTTCAGATTTTCATTTATTTAAATTCTCTCTAATTCTTAATTAAGGACTATAGTTTCACTGAAAAGAACATCGCAGGGTTGCTAACCCTCTTTGTATAACTCAAAGAAAGTTTGAATATCCATTTCCAGCCGACACTCACGTCCAAAGCATGCAAGGGAAAAGAATATCTTTCCATTCACGTTCCACGTAGGTTTAAATAATTTTTACTATGACTAACCGCATTTCTAATAATTAGGAACAAATACTCTACATAGCATTACTTGAATGGTTAATACTTGAAAAAAAGGAAAAATGAAGGTATATTGCTTATAGAAAAATCAAATTCATCACATCAAAATTTAGCCATGATAAAGCTCAACTGAAACCGAAAAGGGAAGCAATAATTGGAGCAACTTTCCGCTACATATACGATAATAATTTATATAATTTCATAATGCGGCCTAACCAATATTATTACCTAGAAAAATGCAAAAAAAGTATATACATATTGACAAACCCTCATGGTGTGGCTACTTCATAGCTAGGTTTTTATCTACATCCAATTATTATTACCAATAAATAGAACCAGAATGTTTGGCGGCAACTTCTACGCAGAAACAAAAAGGTCCGCATGGAATAATAGGGAACATTAGTTTGTGGTCAAACAATTCTCCCAAGTTCCATACTTAGAGCTGAAGCTTCCTCCTCCACTCTGTTGGGCATGCTCAGAAATAACACTGCGAGCACAAACATCCCAAGTCCTTGCAATATCCCCAAGTGACATAGGTTGTGATAAACTCCGCAAAGATGTGCTAAACTTTGCCTTTGCCTTCACTGAAAGATCTTCATTCTCATTACTGTAAGAATAGACGACAGATGCATTAAGAACAGGTTTCCCATCAAACATTAGACAAACCATGGAGATATTGAAAGGCGACACAAGTATTGTATAGATCATCGTTAACATTCCAGAAAGCACTTAGGTTAAAAATACTAAGTCTCACAAGCACATTAGACTTTCCTTCATCGGCTGTATATTTACAATATGCAAAACTACTCTTCTTTCCATTTTCCATGCTCGATAATTGCACATGGATTTTAAAGAGGAAAATCAATGTTTTCAGCAGTAGAAGACGATATCAAAGGCAGAGTACCTTTCCAATTTAATAAATTTTTATTTATTTTCGACACATCAAACCATAATAAATGAAACACAAACAGGCTTTTAGTTATTGAATACGTTTTTCTTTTCTTCATAATTACAATATGACCTATTTAAGAATTTTAATCCATAAGAGCAAAATGAAAAGGGGACGGGGAAAATAAAAGGAAAACTACATGAACAAAATTGAATAGTTGGATGAAACACAATTCAAAAGGCACCCGGCAAATAATTTCAACAAAGCCTAAGCCATAACATTTTTGGATTCGGGTGCAGTGAGCATGATTTATATTTACTATATATATAGTAAATATAAATAAGAGATGTGATCAGGTACATCAATAAAAACATATAGATGCTGAAAATATTAATTAAGAGGTATCTTCAGACTCAATTTGGTTTGGGGATAAATTGGGAGTAAAACATTAATGGATTAGTTTCAAATATTATCTTATAAAAAAAAATCCATAAATTTTCACTTCCACTTTTAACCCTAATATAATAACCATATATACTTCTGTCGGCTTTAAATACTTAGTCTGGTACAATCGTACAAATGGTCGGTGCAGAAAATAACTAAAACTAGATTCATGGTAAAGCAAAACACCTATGTACCATCATCATTGTTGCTTTGACTATTTTTGTTTGAGGAATTTTACAGTGCTCTCAAAATTTAGGGACCAGGGAAGGTCCATAATTATCAATTTTTTGTTAAAAATAATTATTTCAATAAATGACGTAAAAGAACGCCTCTTAGATCCCATATAGTTCCCAAGTTTTTGTGAACATTGAAGTGATCACAATTAGTTATAACACAAGAGATACCAAAATGTTGCTCAAAATCTCACCTGGATTCAACTGGAAATTTGTCTAGGAGTATGGGAGAACAAGTAGGATAATTTGCAGGAACCAGTAAACGCAGGGGCTGAATAGGTGACTGTACAGTAAGAAAGAAAATAAGACCAAGAAAGCAAATGAAATAATAAAATAAAACAAAATAAAAAGGCTAAAAATTGTTGTAATTTCTAGATCTCAGAAGTGGTAACACACCATCTGCGCTGAAGCATATTGGGATTTTAAGCTAGGGCTGAGAGCCACAGCAATGAAAGAGCATTTGACAAGGATTCCTTCTGCACCTTCAGCAGCAGCAACAGCAGCTGTTGGATCAACATTGCTTATGTCTACTACCGTGTCAATAAGTTGGTGATTAATCTCCCTTATTTCTTCCAAAAGTGCATGATTAACCTACCAATAGGTCTTTCATATCAGAAATCAATGACCAAAATACAGCAGATTAATTGAATTAACTCTCCATAAAATCCAGAAATTATGTGGTTTCCTAGCAATAATAACATGATATGTCTTTTAAAAGTTATTATCCTTTTTTTAGCAACCCTGGTATTGGTACAAACCATGGTATTGATAAGTCTTTTAAAACTTATTATCCGATGAACCATCATGGCTCTAATGAAACACAAACAGATTTTAATATGTATCCAGATCACATGAAATTTTCGTTAGTCATCATCACATGATGAATTCAATAGAATGCCCCACATGCTACAACAACTGTAATAATATGCGTAAGTGAGTTATTCACACCAAAAATAGGTTCTAACTTCTAAGCTTATGCCATACTTGGTCATTGTTACCAAACAAGGTGGACACCATAAAGTAGTGCCAAACATGCATCAGCCTTACCACTAAATCATTTCTTATTGTTGTACAATTACTGCTATAATTATTTTATCTTGATTGGTAGTCTTTTAACTAAATAGTAATTTCTACATCATTTAATAACATTTGATAAGATTAGGACTAGGCGTGTAGGAGAAAGTTGGAGTAACACCTACTAAAGAGAAATTGACAAACAGGAGATGGTTTTGTAGTGTAAGGTAAAAGAACCATAGAGGAACTTGTAAAAAAATGGATAACGTGAATGAGTAGAGTGAAAGACAGAAAAATTTGAGCGAAACCAATAGAAAATAAAATAACTTATTCTAAAACAGATTGATTGAAAATTTGGTTTTTGATTGAACCCAATCACATAACATCATTTGATCTGTATAATCAAATCCCACAAATGGATCTTTGAATCTGACAGGCTATTTTACTTGTATAAATAGTCCAAATAAAACAAAAATATATTTCTAATTTAGCAACAGATGTCTCCAATATTTGACTAATCATGCAAATACAAAAGAACAGGCACAATTGTTTTCCCATTCTCTACATGTTTAAGATACTAATGGATGCAAATAAGGTGCGTTACTGTAGAATAAAAGTATACATGTCAAATTGATTTATTAAATTTCTTTTTTGTCCCCTTGTTCCACTCTCACTCCCATCCCCTAATCTTCCCTTATGTTGTGCTACTCCTGTTAAGTGTTTGAAAATAAGGGATCAAAATATGTAGTTTGGTTCATGTGGTACGCTGGAAATCAATAATATATTTTAAAATATAGCTTAAATGAATTCCAAATTCTGTGTTCACTGTCTAAATGAGAAAATGAAATTGCAACTTTGCACACTCCTCTAAATCAACTGA